AGTATTTATAAGTTGAATTAGAGGCTGTATTTGGATATGGAAGGGTGATGTATGCCGTTGGAGTATTACTGTTTAATTCATGACAATATATTTTCATCTTTTTCATTTGGCCACCGTCTTGATGAAATAACCAATAGTCACCATCTCCATAGGAACTGTTACACTGTCGTAGTTCATCACAACTATGTGGGTACGGCAAACAGATAAAACTTGACCACAATCCATCACTTTGACAAACTACTGAGGAATTAGAATAATATCCCTGCATACAGCCATTTTCCAAGGTATAACCAACGGGGTACACAAGCTGGTCATGGGTTAAAACATGTTCCAATACCGATGTTGTGTAACATCCAACAATATCACAGGTGGAAGGTCCAATGGAGCTTGAGACACACAGAGTATTGTTGGGGCAAGTGTGTCCATTACACGACTCGAGCAATTCTTCGGTCCACTCAAATCTGTCAGTTGCGATGAATCCGTTAACTGTTTCAAGATGGTATTGAGAAACAGTTCTTTGGTACAAGTAACATTTTCCTGTGACTAGTTCAAAACTAACTGAATTACAAATTGAACTTTTCATGCACGTTTGAACGCATTTCAAAAGGTATAAATTTTCAAATGAGATAAAACTTTGGTTAGCTATGCGTCTATCCTCTTGAATAAGTGGGAAGTTTGTGATCCGTGAGCAGGTTTTTTCTAGTGCATGAATAGAAACCAGTAGAATGGCACATGCAAATATAATCACCGAATACATTCCAAATCTCTCGTACTACAACAAGACTCCAACTTGATCGATTACAGATCTATCCGTACCTGCCTGTAGGCAACAGCTTTCATTTGGAAATAACTTCTGAAGTATCGCGAGTTTGTTTTTTTTACAAGCACTCTTCATAAATTATTGACGTGTAAGTAATCGATGTATTGATCTATTTATGGGCAATATAGGTACCAAAATTGAACTATTACAGTTCTATAAATTATCAATGATTGGGTATAGTAACATCCAATACCTATTAAAGTGTAAAACCTTGTCATTTAATAAAACAGGAAGTTTACTTCACGACCGAACTTTTTTTTATAGTAATCGTTAGTAGACATCGGCGTCAAGGGTCATGGAATAGTTAGGTCACCATCTAGAAGGTGAAAAGTCGAACAAAATTCTAAGCGAAACCGGAAGTAAACAAAATTGAAATTAAAAAATCGGTTCCCTAATAAATGTTGCCATTTGGAGTAGGTTCAATACAAAAAAAAAGCTTTCGAAAATCGGAATTAAAATGGCGGATGAATATCAATTTGAATGGTTTTTGTAAAATCCAGTATGGCGGCCGAGCGGTTGAAAATAACACCATCTTTGAAAATCAACGTACAGAATTGCAATCGAGTAACGCGGAATTCAGTTCTGTCAGTCCCAACAACGGAGGTGGTGTGAGTAGAATCGTGACGTAATTAAAAGGTTTCGGCTGCACGGTTGGTTGAGATATTTACTTATTCAGGCGACGCACACGCTGTAACCCGAAATCACATTTTCATTCGATTGTCACTATTTTTGGAATTGAAGGATTTAAATTCCGGAACGTTCAATCGAGTACCCCCTTAGCCTCTCTTAGGGGATTGGCCAAACTCCTACAGAACCAACAGGAGGGATAAAGTTGTTTTGTGTCGCTCTCGTAGAGGTCATACTCTTTTAACACACATTTTCATCTTAAAGCGAGAGACTCAACCAGAATGTCACCACTGTAAAGTTCCTTTGACAGTTAAGCACATTTCTTAGAGACATCAGAACAAATTATTACCGTTGCCAACCGTTAAATCATTTATTTGCCCAACCGTGTCTATATTCGAAACTACTAGACTTTTTAAAAGCGACAAATTTTTATAAACAATTTTAATTGTAAATATATATCATCTTGGTTTTTTTTATTTTTAAATATTTGTGTACATGAAGTTGTGATTTTTATTTTTTTTAATATACTGTGATAATTGCTTTAATTCGTGTACATGAAATCCTTGTGATATTATTTAGTTTGTCTCATACTTTTCACCGTATGTCTGGCGCAATATAGCCCGGTTGGCGCTGGCCTGTTACAAAACCACATTTCATTCCATTTATCTAAATTATTAATTAGACATTATTTAACTTATTCAACCCTCGATGTCAACGCTAGCCTGCGATATTTAGTGGATTAGGATCCCATTTGCTGCTTAACATTCATTCATGATTTAATCATGAAATGGATAATTGAGACTATGCTTTTTATCGTACCGACTTCAGTAATGATGATCAAGGCTAGGCCGAAAATTCAATCGCTAAAATTTTGGTTGAGAGTGGATCATTTTGAACTTTTCAGCAAATTCCCTTTACGTTAGCTAGTGTTTAATTATTATAGTGAGAACTGCGTTATCTAATCTCCCATAATGCCCCTTTAAAAAAGATACATAAATATTTTAAAGATACTAAATGATTTGACAATGTTACTGAATTATTACTCTTCTTTCTATTCGAAATGAACAGGATATTTTGTTAAAAACATGATTGTGGTCAACACGTCAGAGGTGTGCTTCCAATAATAATAATACCATAGATTTTTGTGAAATGTAAACGAAAATTCGCCAACTGTTTTAGAGTGGCCCTTAGCCTAAGTTATTATTTGGGTGGAGCCATGGTGGCTAGTTGGTTAAGACGCTGGCTCGCTAGCCTGGAGGTCGGGTGTTCGATCCCTGCATTGGCCGAGAAAGTTCATCGGGATTTTCCGACGTGGTTCCCCCTTGTCAGTGATGCAGGACGGAAGGATAGCTGTCTAGTCCTTCGGATGAGACGAAAAACCGAGGTCCTGTGTATACATTGGAATGCACGTAAAAGATCCCTTGGCAGTTGGAATTCGATATAAGAATAGGCCGTAGCGCCGCTGCCGGAGCAAAATTTCCCTCATAGCACACTGTATGGCGTATGCCCGTCTTCATTAGCCCAGTATAGGAGCAGAACAGTAGGACGTTAAACCCCATTTCATTTCATTTATTACTTGGGTATATACCTTTAAGCTTGCAATAACCTCACAGTAGCATTCTTGCAAACTTTCGCTATTTTTTCGCTGTAAGATAGATTCAAGTGGGGTTGAAATATCAAGATTCTTTCACTCATTGGAATAATTCTTAGATATTTTTCTTAGATTATCTTTGAAAATCTTGAGATTTATTCCTCAGCACACCGGCTTAATTCACTTCTTATTTTGCATCTTTTGTGATCCTGAATAATTTGATACACTTATGAAGGAGAAGATGTTTATGTAACTTGTCCAATCCTTTTACTGTATGGTAATAAAATATGTTTAAACAAATATACGTCAACTCTCGTTGACTGTATGTTTTGGTGTATGTTTTGTTGCCTGGAAACCTATCTTTTTAATTAGATGTTAAAGATACATTATGGGAGGTAAGATAAAGAGGTGGCAGTTCTCGCTATAATAGTTAAAAACTAGATAGTGTAAAGGTAATTTGCTGAAAATTTCAGTCAAATTGATCCACTATGAGCCGAGAAAGAAGCGGGTGACATTTTTGCATAGTCTCGGTCATCATTACTAAAATCATTAATATAAACAGCATTGTCTCGATTATCCAATTTTTTTTATTTAATTATCAACGGCCGTTAGCGGCATATAGGAATCCAATCCACCCAACGTCGAAGGCTAGCCTTGACATCGAGAGTAAGTTTATTATGGTCTGGATAAGTTAATTAATGTCTAATTGATAATTTAGATAACATTTCAGGCCTAGGACATTTTGCCCGGGCAGCGGCACTATCGCCTACTCTTATATCGAATTCCAACTGCCAAGGGATCTTTTACGTGCATTCCAATGTATACACGGGACCTCGGTTTTTTCGTCTCATCCGAAGGACTAGACACCTGTCCTTGCCAGGCCCTCCGTTCTGCACCACTGACAAGGGGAAACCACGTCGGAAAATCTAAATGGATTCTGATAGATGTTTGATCCGCATATGGATATTAAAGACGCAGTGGTGCGTGAATTTAGCTATATGCATTCTATAATATTGTGAAATTTGAATATCAGCTCAAAAATAGTTCCAAGTCGCTTTAGTATTAAAGGAGCTATGTTGATCTCGGGTTTTAGCGATGTTTTAATAGATTGGCGAAGTTCAATTAAATTAAAAGTTTGAAACCGAAATCGTCCATTAGGGGCCTTCACTCGATGCTTTTATCTAATGTCCGGGCAAATCCTCAGTCTCCTTTAGGCGGGTCAAACAATTGATTGAAGAAGGTGTGATTGGACCTCGTGAAATTGGGTTTAACGACTTAGTTTTCTGCCCTCTGGACTAATTGAAGTCGGACATATGCCATACGGTGTGATTTGAGGACAAATTTGCCCGGACAGCGGCGATATTATTTACTCTTATTTCAAATTCTAAATGCCAAGGATTTATTTTTGGGCACGCCATTTTGTACACGGCAACTCGATTCTTTGTTTTATTCGAACGACTTATTAATCACTGTTCCTGGCAAGCTCAGAAGTCCTGCACAACTGACGAGACGAAACCGCGCCCCAGCGTCTCCGTAACTGGGATGCTAATTAATGACAAATAATACATTTAATCAAAATGTTTGACCGCTATAACTTAATGTCTTAACTCCGATGATCGACATTTTCTGCTTCGGCCAAGCAACAAAAGGTATCTTGGTGAAGAGTTGCATTACATGAATACCTTTGACTACTTTCGATCATGATAATTTTTGGCTTCGGTTATGCGGGAGGGTGATAACCAGTTTGATAGTTAGAGGCTTTATAAAACAGGTAAATGGGTCTTATGTATTTTGGGATTGAAACGAGGAAGCTAGCCTCATGGTTGACTTGGTTTAGTTCACTTTGGCTGCTGAATTTGAGTTAAATGGTAGATAGTTTAAGTGAAAAGCGAAACTGGCGTTTCCTGCAACTATAGAAAAGACCACGCCATAGCAAGATCCATTACTCATCAAACTAACACATCGGGTTAACTTCATTTATTTCGCGCTGTTTTTTTAAAGACAAATCGCCATTTTAGATATTGTTTATCTATTTAAAATTACGATTTTATTATCTCTGTCTGTCCATCCTTCAGTTTTACTGTCGATCCATCTGGTATCTTTTTGTACAGAAGTTTCACGTCCGCCATAGTCTGTGGAAGTTCCTTTCCCGTCGTTTCCGGTAAAAAGATGATCAAGAGGGTGGCAAGTAAACAGCAGCCACCGAATATAGCCGCTGGACCCCATGATATATGTTGAGCCAAAACTCTTGAGAATGGACCCAACATGCCACCAACTCGAGCAGCTACGGACGTTGATCCGAGTCCAACATTCCTAGAAAAATTAGAAAAAAGTTATATAGCTACATTAGTGCCAAGAATGATCTACAATTATCGACAATTTCTCTACGATTACTGGTGTTGAGGAAAATGTTCCTACTGCCTCTTCTTAATTTCAACATCCCCTAGTAGAAAGCAACCATTCCAGATTAAATCGCTACAGGGATAGTCTACGATTGCGGTTATCAGCCATGATCAACTACGTTAGATAAATTAGCTATATGACGACACTGAAGCATTACGACTGTGCAAGGATGGATCTTACTGATTTTCAAAATTGGTGTGAATCTTTCGGAATTTTAGCATCCTATGACTATTTTTACCAGAGATGTATTATGTGTCGGAAAAGCTTGTGAACATGACAGGGATCAGATATTTTAAAGGCATGACAGATTCCCATCACATTTGGTCAACATGGGAGTTTTTATTTCGCGGTTTTTTTTTATTGTAAAGCTTGTTTATTTTGAGCGTACGGCAATGTCTTTCACGCAACGCCCGGTAAGCTGACATGTAGGTAAGACACAAGCGCTGCATACATACTTGATTATTTATCTGTACTTATATTGTCAAGTTTGGTTATTGTCAATATTATTTGCTCTGCTAAAATGTATTTTCCATTGAATATGTGAAGAAAATACAATGTACAAAGTCTTAATACCGGTAATGATAAAGTCAAAATACCTCTAAAGGCAAAGTTAAATGTAAAACGTCAAATGCAATGCACTTTTTACATATAATCAATGGAAAAGAAATTTTAGCAGAGCATTTAATATTGGCAGCAATACCATACCCTTCCATACTTATACTCACCTTAAATTGGTAGGAAATATTTCTGGGGTGTAGAAAAAACATGCACCAAAAGCACCACCGGCTCCAATTTTACCAACCATTGAAAAAATAGTTACACAAATTGATGCTGCATAACTATCTGTAAAAAGAATTGAATTGAGCTTCGTGAATTCCTGAAACGTTACCAAGCAATAGTAACAGTGACACAGAGCTGTTCTTCATAACTACCTGTGCAAAGTCAATAGCCATTGACGCCTAAACTTCGAAAATCAAGGCCGTCAACCTTATCTTTCAGGCATTAATCGGTTTTGAAATAAATATTGGTTTCGGTGGACCTTGGGTATTCTATGGTTGAGACAATATTTAACGGTTGGAAGAATTGACAGAGCTATGGTTATGGATGTGATCGGATACTTGTTGACAATTTAATAATAAGGCAAGCTTCTATCTAATGGCAAATAGTTGGTGATTCAGTACTACAGTCAGTCAAATATTCAAGATTGTGTGCAAATCAAGAGACGTGTCCAATATCCCATTGCGAAGATACCGTCGTTTTTCATTTCAATTTTAGAGCCATACACCACTATCAACGATCATGTGCGCACAAGACATTGCTTTAAATATACATTATGCGAGAGCTAAATCTACCTATTGCAGGTCTTTCTTTAGGCCTGAACTGAATTAATATAAACTATTAATTATACATTAATTAACTTATCCAGATCATAATCAACTTTCGATATCATCGTTTGCCTGCGATATTTACTGGATTAGGATCCGATTTGCTGCTCAACTTTCATTCATGATTTAATCATAAAATGGATAATCGAGACTATGTTTTTCATTTTACCGACTTTAGTAATGATGATCGAGGCTATACGCCGAAAATTCATTCGCCAAGACTGAAATTTTCAGCAAATTCTCTTTACATTATCTAGTTTTTAACTATTACAATAAGAGATGTCAGCTCTTTATCTAATCTCCCATAATGTATCCTTAAGTAAAAATAATACTCACTTAGGTTCGAAAGGGTGGAAAATTAGGCCCGAGGCCTTTTCTGATATTTTGCCCTTTTAGCAACATAAAGCATGAATATAATAGTATTCCAAATTACGTATATAAATTAGTCAGATGGTGAAAGTTATAATTACCGTAAAAGACTCACCGGATGTAACTTTAATAATAGTAGCAATGATCATACCAATCCCACATACAGCAAAAAATATTGCTAGTGTTCTCTTTCTACCAAATCTACAGAGAAAGGATAGGAATAGTGTGTTTACCATCGTCAAATACAATTCGAAAATTTTAAAACCACCATATTTATATTGGTAATTACGATGTGGATACTATATTATTGCAAGTTTCTAGCGGCGATATTTCCTAATAAAGAATTCGTACACGGGACTTTCTGGCCAGGGGCCGTGTGTCATAACCGGTGGTTGAACTATTCCGCATTCGAATAGGGAACACTCTAGTCGTGAGTCAAGTGTTCCAACCACATAACAAAGAAAGGGGCTCATCTACAAATATTAATAACTAGCACACCAGCCGCACAATCGATTCTAACCATTGGATAAATATAACAAATGACGGACGAATAAGTTAAAGTAGCTAAGTTTCTAACTCAACATCATCCAAAATCTTCGACATTGAAAACACGATTTATTTGTCGGTTTAAATCAACATTGATCTTGTGATCTTACCGGGAAAAAATGACCTTCTGATATCCAATATTTAATGACAAAATAAACATTTTACAATTGGTACACGAATCGTGTACCATAATGCGTTTCAGCGCTATTTGTAATAAGGGACTCGAAAAACGAGGCTAGGCATATTCCACAAGTCATGTCAAACGGTGACGCTATATTCTTATCTGGAGAGCATGCCCAATAAATGCTATCGACGTAGACTGAAATAACCAGACGTTAGAGATTGAAATTCGATTGAGAATACTGGCGTATTTCGCCGAACCTAACTGATTAGAAATTACAGTAAAAACAGAAACGATTGAATGTAATTCAATTTATATACATTCATATTACATTATTGTATGCGTTGCGACCCATTTGTGTCAATTTCTAGGTCCCAAATATTAGCGACTTAGCTCCTTTAAGTTATACAAGATGTACGGGACAATATCAACCCATTGAACGAACGAATGAACTGCTCATCTCGACCTCTTTAGGCTAGAATTAGCAATGTATTATTATTAATTATATTACCTACCTATCAACAAGCAGAAAGAATAAAACCCCAGAAGGAAATTCCATTAACGCATTCAGGAAGTAGTTGAGATATTTATCGCCAACTAGAGTCGACGACGTAAAATATAAACCAAAATATGACAAAGCAGCCGTGCACCTGAAACAAAAAAGAAATCCTTTAATTTTTTCAGTCGGTAACATAAAGATGCATTTTGTAAGAATCAAATGTTATATACATCTTGAATTATACATTTATGCACATGCCAACCAAGCCCATAACTAACTCTCTAGGTCATCGTATGGTTTTGATTTTCAACGGATTTAAACACGATTGCCAGTTAATAATTTGATCTAAAAATAGATAATCGTGACTTTATTATCTTAACAACGTTAGCAATGACAACCGAGAATAAAACTGTTATTCAAACGGCCATAATTCCGCTTAGAATCAACTTAGTTTACTGAAATGTTCAACATACCCCCTTTTCATTATCTACTTGTTAACTACGTGTATTATATCCAGATCTGACAACTCTTTGTCTGGATCTTACAAAATGCATCTTTTCGGGTAACTTTTGCAATTACTCGGCCTCTTTTGGAACAGGTTGTATGTGACAAGGAATACGGTCGCCTGTCCAATCTGGTGGGTTTTCTCTGGGTCCACCGGTTTCCTCCCATTGATAAAGGCCATTGCGCGCAAGGGAATTATTGAAATAAAATTGAACCATATGTTAGTCCCGAAATGACCTAGTTTGTGTCGAGTGGACGTTACCCCCCCCCCCCCACCACCACCACCCTCAGTTCTCTCTCTCTTCTCTCATTACCTCGTAGTTTCTACATTTTTTGTGCAGTCCCCCGACAAAAGTTTATTATATTTCCGTTGAATTTGTCTTACGTCCTACATTTCGGCACAAATTGGGCTAATAAAGACGGAAGTACATCATGGGTGTGTGTTATGCGCCGACAGGGCTAATGAAGAAGGGCATACGCCATGCAGTGTACATGTAATATGAGGGAAATTTTGTTCAGGCAGCGGCACTATGGCCTACTCGAATTCCAACTGCCAAGGGATCTTTTACGTGCATGCCAATGTGTACATTGGACCTCGGTTTTTCGTGCCATCTGAACGATTAGGCAGCTGTCCTTGTCAGACCTCGGGCTTATAACGACGTACGTACATCATGGATGTGTGCTACGAAGGAAGGCTACCGGCGTTTCCATCTTCTCTATATCGAATACCAAGTGTCAAGGGTTCTTTTACGTACACTAAACCATGGATATGCGACCTCCGAATATTAGTCCCACCGGGGAATCCTCGCTGGAAATATATCAGTGCATACTAACCATAGATACCACAGAATGACTGTGTTTAATGCCAATTTCTTTCTCTTCAAAATATCTAATAAACTATATTTCTCTATTTTCTCAATTGGCATCGTTTCACCCTCGTTTAAAAGAAGCTGACCGTCCTTCTCCGGCTCGGAAGTAGCTAAGGTCTGTTTTTCTATCATCTCGTTAAATTTTTCTACAACCACATTGACATCAACCTGAAACGCCCGATTGGCTATAAGAACTTCCTAAGCAAATTAGGTGCTCTAGAATGATGAAAATTGATAACATTTCCAACGACTGGTTGCCATGAACGATACGCTTATATTTTGTAAGAGATAGACAGAAAAATAGCTAAAGAAAATGCGATTTTCGAACAATAAGGGGCGCCAGGATGTTACGTACGTCAATATCTTTGGGATAGAAACATATATTATTTTAAGTTTCTGCAAAATCAAATACAATTTGTGACCTCTAAAGAGTCCACAGGCTAAGAGCGTGATGTTTCGAAAAGTCATACGGGCCGATATGAGCCAATATCGAAAGAGATTGAGATCTTTGGGTTATAAACATACATTTTAAGTTTCATCGGAAACAATTCGAACCCCTAGGACTGTCCACAGACTAAAAACGTCATTTTTCATACAATCACGGGCCATAATCCATGACCTTAGGCCCGGTACATGCCAATATCGAAAGGAACCGATATATTACCGGTACACAGTAATTACGGTTAAGTTCGAATTTTGTGAAAATCGGAAGGAGACTGCCTGACGCTAATATAATAGTATACTAAGTATGTAACTAGGCTCTGGCCCCTCTACAGATCACAAATTTTATCCGATGTTAATGAAACTTAAAATGTGTTAATATCCTAAAGATCTCGGTTTCTTTTGATATTACTGTCCTGGATTTTAGATACTGATTGTGCGAAAACCGCTTTGTTAGCGTATTCTCTGTCCATTGCTTACAAAATGTGGTGTATGTTGCACGGCAACCGCTTGTTAATACTTTTTAGAAGCCTGTGAATAAGATCGGTATCAGATGTTTTAAAGGATCCTTTTCTTATCCAATTTGGTCAACATAATAGTTTTCCTTTCTGATAAGCTATCTTTGTTCTTCTTTGAGCTGACATTATATCGTATGTCGCATTTCTACAAAAGCCAAAAGCGGGTTATGTCAACTCCAAGAAGACGAACGATAGCTTATCCGATAGGAAGGCTAACTTTTAATTTGACATTCATGGATCAGTAGAGTATGAACATACATGTATTCTTAGTTTGATGTTCAGAGATCCTAACAATGTGTCACAGTCAACATCCGGTTATCCTTTCGTTACATCTTACTAACCAGGAGTCACAGGCCCAACAACAAAGCCCGGAAAATTAAAATTTGCTCTCGAACCCCTTCCTCTACCCGACTTTCAGGACCGAGCTAACAGATGTTGTGACCATGTGTCCTTGACTATTGCGGATTCATCAGATTACTGGATGGAAGTATTTGGATACTATGATACCAAAGCTATTTAATTACTTCATTACTATCGCGGATTCGTTAGATTACTGGATGGAAGTATTTGGATGTATTCTCATATTTGATATCAAAGCTATTTAATTACCTTATTCCATTTAGCTGCCTTCTTTACATTCTTGAGAGCGATGTCATATTTTCCATTTGCTACCAACCATCTTAACGACTCATCTAGAAATCTACAATATAGTTGTTTACGTCAGTACTTTCAACAACTGACGAATAATCTAGTCACATGTATCATTGCCATTATTTATATGTCTTCACTTAACCTGGTTAACCCTATTCATGAAAATATAGTTCACGTTATGTTTTTTGATGAATTATATTATTATCTTCAGTATGTGTAGATTCCGAGTCCGGATGATGTCACACTGGCACCCTTGGGGAAATTTAATTATTCAAGTTGGCCGCCACGAGGCGTTGCCGGATAGCGGCAATTGAGTCTACTCTTCATCGCATTCTAACCGTAAATGAATACACTGGTAGAATGGGTTTTTCGTTAGCCCCCATCCATTCCTACATTAATTTCTCGGCCAGAACCGGGATAAAAATAAAAACAAGGTTATGTTCGAGATAACGGTGGGTAGTTCCTTATCCCACGATTCATTGCGTCTCTGACAAATGGGCGATACCGAATAGCGCTAACAATTAAACGTTATGACAATATCGCTAACTAACAATATATAATGGCAATATGTTATGAAAATATCGCTAACTGACAATTTATAATGACAATATCGCTATCTGACACTATATGATAACAATATCGCTATCTGACACTATATGATGACAATATCGCTATCTGACAATAATGACAATATATAATGGCAATATGTTATGACAATATATAATGACAATATCGCTAATATATAATGACAATATCGCTAATATATATATAATGATAATATCTCTAACTGACAATATAAAAATAATGACAATATCGCTAAGTGACAATATGTAATGCTCGTAGGCTCTTTAGTAGTTGGGAGTAAACCACTAAAAAGGCACGTGGCTGGGTAGGTGACAGTACTAATAGCAAAGTACAGCCTTGAGTTCGGAACAACGCTACTATAGACTCAATGACAAGCCTTCTAATTAAAAGCATGAACTTTAGGAACCCCGACTTTAGGAATCAATTATGTACATGAACTAATACACTTACATGACTTCAATAATAATGTACAGCGACACAGAGCAAAAAGCAAGTTGCTGGGTTCGCCAACTTTCCATTCGCAAAAAATATCCGAATGGGGTCATGGAGACAAAAGAGACCCCACAAACGACAGTAGTAATAACTGCTACATATCTTCTATATTGCGTCGAATACACTTCCATAGAATACGTAGTAAGGCTCAATACCATCCCCTATAAAACAAAATACGGTTTGATAACGCCTTAAAAGAATTAGCAGCATTGATACAAAATACGGTCACATAACATTTGTATAGTATTTGTAGCATACCATTTATACAATCTGATTAAAACACAGATCCTATTTTATTTCCGTTTTTATATTTCAAACTTTCGTTTTACTTGTTTTTACATTATAAGGATCTGGAAGAGTTGTTACCCGCGTCCTCGATGATGTGATGGATTAGCCAATGAAACGGTCTGTTACGGCGAGTTTTCAGCGTGAGGTGCACGGAACTGTGGGTAACCCACTAGAAACACCAACGCCGATTGGATAATCAAATGTCTGACGTCATGGGGTCAAATACCGCTGGTATGACCTTTGACGCGACCTTCAACTACAACTGGTCAGATCTTCATGTGGTGTAGGCCACCGAAAGAATAAAAAAACGAAATATAGATCTTTATTTTAATCAGATTGAGATTTATACAATTCTCTGTAAAATAAAATATGGCCAGATACCCCTTTGTAGCATATATAGAGTAATACTATATCAAGAAAAACAAAATATGATAGAAATCAGAGGAGTAATTACAATAATTTGTGCAACCTGGAGAGATCCATGCAGCCACAGCCCACCCTCTCCTTATAATAAAAAGAGAGCACAATACACACCAAACTACCCACCCTCCCAATACAAACTAAACATGTCTAAACTGTAAAGTCAAAAGCGGTGTTCCCTGTCTGAAACACAACCTTTTGACAACGCAGTAGAACAAATGCGCAGCCCGAAGCTGGCAGCCCCGTACTCCTTTTAGTACGCTACCGTGTATCTCCTTCATTGATGTGTGGCATAACAATAAACCGAGAGAGAGAGAGGTGGGGTTTAACGTCCACTCGACAGGCGACCCTACTCCTTGCCACGTACAACCGGGGAATCGAAACCACGGCAGTTGATGCACCGAAAGTCTTACATACCTGTTGTACTATTCCCATTAACAGTCGAAGTATGGCAAACGTTATATAACTGTTAGAGAAAGCTGTAGCAACGCCAATCCCAATGACACAAACATAGCTGATAATGTTGATTGGTTTTCGTCCATAACGATCTGAGAAAAACGGCAGAACCAGCGCACCAATGGCTTGTCCTAATATCAACAGCGTCTGTGGTAAATCGCCGAGCGCGTCACGATCACAAACAAGATCAAACTGAAAATATTACAAAATCATGAAATAAATTAAATGAAATGCTCCAACTGGTCCAGTGAAGACGAGCACACGTTATACAGTAGGCTATACAGGTAATTTTGCCCAGAGAGCGGCACTACGGCCTACTCGTTATCGAATTCCAACTGCCAATGGTTCTTTTACGTGCACGCCAATGTGTACACGGGACCTCGATGCATGTGCGCCACTGACAAGTTAAGATGATTACAAAAGCATGCATGACTAACCGTCTGTTCTACCGCATGCATTGCAATTTTATTCATACATACCAAAATCACAATTTAGACCATTTTTTTTTTTGTAAAAATTTGAATTTATATACATTTTACTACTACAGTGTTCTTCTTATCCAAATAATCATGCAAAAACAAACGATATCTTTGTGATGCATGATTGGTAACATCTGTTATGGTTGTTTTGAGTACAGGCACTTGTTTGACACTGTAAAATGATGGAACTGACGATGACGACTAATACATGTGTTTAAAGATATATTATAAGCAACAATTTGCCTAAAGATACATTATTCAAGATTTAGATAAAGAGAGAGCCATTCTTGCTATAATAGTTCGAAAATAGATAATTCAAAATTAATATATTGAAAATTTCATTACAATTACTCAAATGCGAACGAAGATATAGTTAAAACTGCAATCAACGTACTGGTTGTTCGAAGCTAAGTCTCGCTTCTCCATTATTATATTAAATCAAAATATGTCTGAACCGTTCTAATCCACTTAATATCGGAGATATCCGATGCCATCGAAAGTTGATTATGGTCTTATTATGTTAATAAATGTCTAATTAATAGTTTATATAACATTTCAGGCCTAAAGAAAGATAGGAAGATTTAGCTGTTGCATAATGTATGGTTAAATGCCAGAACATCATTAATCACTGAGAGCGAGCTAATGGTTTCTTTTGCCGGTAATGAAACATTTATAATACACTAAAATCTGATTAAGAGTAGCAACTCACTAAGTAATTATCAGATAAGAGCATCGCTACCGCTGCAATATACGTAAACATTCTAGCTTTGATTGATATGATACTTTTTAAAATGAAGAGCACAAAGATAAAATAGGTGTGTTTCTGTCCCTGGGGGTTGGGCATGCACCAAGGTTGTGGACCGTCTATAGGTCGCAATTTTTATCCGATTTTAATGACGATTAAAATATGTTTATATCCGTATTTACTTTCCGGGCCCGGTTCCTAGAAAATTCTTAAAGTAAGCACAAAGTCATGCTTCACTTTTTCTTACGTAAGAAACTTATAAAAATACCCTCCCTAGAAAATTCTCAAGCACAAGTCAAGTATAAGTCTAAGCATATTGTGACTGGTAAAATTTACCATAAACTGAGACTACAATGCTCTTTAACGTCATAAAAACAACATTGGTATGCGAATTGCGTCTTAAATTTGTCGTCTGCTTCATTGACGTCATATTATATATATATACATATGGTTCATTTCGATGCATGTCCCCTATTCACATATAAAATGTGCCACAAGATAAAAAAAACCCGCAGACACATAGAAACTAACTGAATAATTGTGAGAGCTCCTGATGTTAAAGTAGCCTGTGTGTTTGTAGCCTATTTTTTACTAATTGGCAAATAAATAAAATGGTTTCAGGGTAGGCCCAGCAGCGAAATTTTCTATAGCATTCTTAATTTGAAATTTCTTCTGGAGAATTGACTATTTGGTATCAAAAGGTGTCGGAAATGCCGTCGAATAATTCTACGGTCAGCCATCTTTTTAAAGCAGAAATAGACTTAAGGTCGGTAAGCAAGCCGTATACCTTGCTTGGGACTTGTGCTAAGATTGACTATTTTTAAGCACGATGTTGTGCTTAAGTTTTTTTCTTGGAACGCATAATAACGTGCTTGTGCTTACAATGAAGTCTACTTAAAATCTAAGCACAAGAACGTTTTGAAGAATTTTCTGGGAACACAAAATAAGGTAAGTTTACTTAAATGCAAAGTCTACTTAAATCTAAGCACAAGAACGTGCTTAAGAATTTTCTAGGAATCGGGCCCAGGATTATGGCCCCTAATTGTATTGGTTTTTTTAACTTGTTTTCTGTCCATCAAAATGTGTCCGTATCTTGCGTGGCAACCGCTTGTTATCTGTATAAAATTACCTCTGAAACGATCGATGCATCTTTTCTCTCTGTGTAGGTCATACCATATATACATGGTAGTGTGTGTTCTGTATTGGTGGAAGTAGTGGTATTGTATTTAATATTTATATTACATTGTCCGTATTCCACTGTATAATTACTGGGTGATAATTCTACTTCATCTATGGTTATATCAGTACCATTAGGGGGCGCAGAGCATTTATGGGGAATAATTCGTCCTGCAAAACAAATAACATTTTAATTACTTTATAAATTATATCGTTTTACATGATTTTTTGTCATTAAAGATAAATGGCGAATAAACATGAAATGAGATGGCGTCTAAGGTCCTGCTTTTCTGCACTGACTGGACTAATGAGGACAGGCATAGCTATGTGTTAACAGTGTTATATTCACCCCTTAGCCGACACTTTATTGCCTGGAGTGCAACGAGGATGGGGGGAATGGGAGGTGGAGGCAAAGTAACTAGCTTGTACACGGCTTTCAAAGGAATAATAATAAAGTATGGACACAACTTCAATGAGGCTAAATATATTTTGACCCCTTGTGTTGGGTATTATGTCCCCTTATATCGGACAAAGCGCAGCGTTCGCACATATGGCGTATCGCTAACATGCAGCAAATGCGATAATTCGACGATAACGACATGTCCTTACGCAATAACTAATATGCACTCTAGGACCTTTGAAGCAATAGGAAAACAAGATATCAATCTTACATATGCATTATGTAAGATTTAGATAAAGAGCTGGCCGTTCGGTTTAATTCAAATTACTTTATTCTGAGCTAAATTATCACTGTTTGAAGTTTTGACAACACATGGCATTGACTGATTTAACGCCAAAAGAATATACTGAAAATTTAATTCAAATTACTCTATTCTGAGCTACACATTTCATAGACTGATTATTATCATAACAATGGCATTTGTTATTCGAGATTTAGCCTCGTGTCGCCAATTTTAAATTGATTCATTAAATGACCACAGCGTTTGAATCTACCTTCAATCGGAGCCATCCGATGGGCCAGAGAATTGACTATGGGCTTGGTATGTAAATACATGCCTAAATAATAATCATTAAATGGCCACAGCGATGGGCCAGGGAGTTGATTATGTGCTTGGTATGTAAATACATGTTTAAATAATATTTTTTATAACATTTGAAGCCAAAAAATAAAACGACTTGCAATAGGCAGATTTAGCTCTTGCATATTACATCTAAAATTCGAATGATCACTACGTACATTTAAAAGAAAAACATTCATAAAACGCCGCCCTATAATGAAAGAGAGAAGAGATAAACTTATTAGTACACATTTACAAATATTTCAAAAAGCAGTCCTCAAATGGAAGAGAGGATATATATTTATTAAAAAAAGTTAATAAATACGCCCCTACCGATGAAGATCATACCAAGTAGTTGAAAATCAGACGAAAAAGAACATAATTGCATAAGGAGAAGTTGAACATGTTGATATAATCCCTTTCCTCTCAATGCATTGAGAACCATATCAACATCCGCCCCCTTTACTGCCATTTCTCTGGTTAGTAGTTCTGAGAGGTTCTTGGTACTGACGTGTTAGAATCCTATTGACCTGAAAATTCTAGATGGACACTTTCTGAACAGGTGGCCAATGTCCACAAAAAATAACATGTATTCACTTTGGTAATAGTTCTTGGTGTAAAACAAACTACACAAACTAAACTCCTCTGATTTTTATTGATCTTCTGGTAATTTTCATCTTCCAATATGTTTAACTAATCTCGCACTTCCTATATAGATCCTATAATAATAGTAGTCGTTTAACAATTCACAGTTCAGTCAACTTCTAAGAATAACTTTATTCACTAAATGATGATGTACAAAAGAAGACTAATACAAAGTTCTATAACTATTCTGTACTTCAACAATCAGATGGGATGAGCGTCGATGAACTGTAAAAATATAATAAAAGACAAGCCGTAAGTTATATGTTGAAACTAATTCGCAGATAAAGATGTGGGAGCCAGCTAGCAGATAATAGATAATGGAACATTCCATTATGCAATACTACAAATTGAAATAGACTCTTCTAATCCCTGCAGGCATAACAAGTAACCAAAAACTAAATGATTAAAATGCATTACAATTATAAAATAAAAACATTAAAATTTCCGAGCTTAAATAAAACATATATATGTGCAAGATAAATGAAATAATTATATCAATCATTTAAAGATACATTATGGGAGATAAGATATAGAGCTGGCAGTTCTCACTATAATAGTTAAGAACTAGATAATGTAAAGGGAATTTGCTGAAAATTTCAGTCAAATTGATCCACTTAATCGATTGAAATTTTGGCCTAGTCTTGATCATCATTACTAAAGTCTGTACGATAAAAAAACATAGTCTCGATCATCCAGTGACTTGGCCACCGTGACCCCCTGGTTTATGTAATACTAGTAGTTTTAGTAAAACTGCGATTTAGGTTTGACACATATTAGTAATAAGTCTTGGAAAGGAATGAACATGTCTGCAATTTTTTATGTTTTCACCACTTATCAATTTTGCATCCTTATAACGCAAACTATTCTTAACAATATCTAAATTCGGTCTGAGAAGGGTCGGTCGAGGAGTCTTATAGCATTATTATAAACCAATAACGGTGAATCTATTTGATCATTTGGGTATATTTAATGCCCGGAATAACTTGTGGTCTGAAAGTCGGCGGCGGCTTAGTATATATTCAGGGTAATTTGGGGTTATTCTTCTGAAAGTTTTTCTTTAAGCCTGTAACGGGTTATTCCCCCAGGGGAGGTTTTGTTTTCCTTATAGAAATTCTGGGATATTCTCATTTTAGTTACATGTAAAAATAGACGGTTTATAAACAAGATAAAGTCTCGTACTTTATGCTACACATATTAGATAAATATCTTGGACAAACATTGTTAAGTATGTTATAGAAACAAATATGTTTACTTAACTGATATTCACAGCTTGCATTTCTTTAGAAAAGGGGGCAAGTCATGAATTAGTTTAAAGACACGATTTTGTTGACGTTGAAGGTATAAATATGCAGTCTTGCTACAACTACCCCAAATTGGACAGCAGTTAAATGTATATGGCATGAAATGTGACTTGTAATACTGTAGTTGGAAGGATTTAGATAGATATGTTTTGATCCTTCGCAATTGAAACAGTTTCTGATTCAGAATTTTATTTATTAGTTTTAGTTGTATCAAGTACCCTAAGAATTGTGACACTTGCATAATAGCTATAGGAGTAATTTCAAAAACCACTTGTGTTTGACGGTGCCCTTGAATAATATTAAAAACTAGCTAATCATTGAAATCTTCTGGTGAGACATGTACTTTCTTCAAAAGAAATGAAATGAAATGGGGTTTAACGTCCTACTGTTCTGCTCCTATGCTGGGCTAATGAAGACGGGCATACGCCATACAGTGTGCTGCGAGAGAAATTTTGCCCGGGCAGCGGAACTATCGCCTATTCTTATATCGAATTCCAACTGCCAAGGGATGTTTTACGTGCATTCCAATGTTTACACGGGACCTCGGTTTTTCGTCTCATCCGAAGGACTAGACAGCTGTCCCTGTCAGGCCCTTCGTCCTGCCTCACTGACAAGGGGAAACCACGTCGGAAAATCGGGATGAACCTTCCCGGCCAATGCAGGGATCGAATACCCGACCTCCAGGCTAGCGAGCCAGCGCCTTACTTCTTCAAAAGATTATTAGCTATTTTAGAAAAATAGTCAATACATGTAGTTTCACAATCAATGGGTGTAGGCGAATTAGATTTTGACGTGTCAGTTACATTATTAATTCTCTTCCAGATTGCTTTTGAATTTTTGAATCAGTTACTAATTCTACGGAAATATTTAGATTTAGAGCTTCTGATTAAATTTTTCAATCTTTGTCTGCATTTTTTATATTCAATGATTTCGCCTCTCAGAAAGCCATAGCGGTTTTGAGACAGTTTTAACTCTTTTAGTCCTTAAAAGGAACATGTAATGACAGGAATAATCGTATCATACCACATTTTAAAGAGCACGTTATCAAAAGGGGCAAAATTAAATCACCCAAGAAATCAGTTTTATTGAATGTTTTGAATGACATAAGAAATGGTAGGATGGGATGATTTCGCGATCATGATACCTTTCTTATAGCATGTAAAACAGCATGGATAAATTTATAATTGGTACATTAATTTCCACGATGTGTTGAAGAGAAGACCCTAATGATCAATTAATGTTGATGATGCCGTAACACGTGTAGGAAAATCAATCGATTGTTTAAAGCGATAATTTCATATTTTCTAAGAAAGTCAAAACATAATTATTTCTATGTCGTTTGCTCAATAGGTTGTCAACTCACTATTATACAATTATAGGTATTATTCTCCCTCTTAAAAATCCTTCGACCCCGGAAATAATAACACAATTACCTCCCTTGTTTTTCTATACCCCCCCCCCCCATGAAATAATTATCTTCAAACGTTTGAATTTAAAGTTAAAAATGATATTTTTGCCAATTTCTCAACTGGCAATAGTGAATTATAGGATTAATAGGATTATTCTTTAACAAGGTAGGACTGTTTATAGATACCATCTATTTTAAGGCTTTATTTTAATAAATTTTAAAAATATAACTTAAAAATATGAAATTGCAGCTTTAAGGTTATATAACCCAAGAATATCTGTCCAAAAGAAGTTGTTAGATTTAAAGAGATCAAAGTTCCTGTCTCCCGTCATACTAATTCCATGACCTAGATTCCAAACAGTATCCATCATTTCTTGCAAATATACAAGCCATTGGTCAAGGAGGCAGGAATATACGATATAAACAACCGATTCAAATAGGTAGAATGTTTCTTAGATAGCCTATACTTCCACCCAGATACATTCAATAAATTTATAATGCTCAAAATCAGACCTACGTTTACAGAGAGAGAGAGAGAGAGAAATGGGGTTTAACGTCCACTCGAATCAAACTAGGTCATTTCGGGACTAACATATGCTTTAATTTTATTTCAATAATTCGCTTGCGCGTAGGGGTCTTTAGCAGTGGGGGGAAACCGGAGGACCCGGAGAAAACCCACGAGGCTGGACAGGCGACCCTACTCCTAGTCACGTACAACCGGGGAATCGAAACCCCACCAGTTGACTCAATGACAGACCGTATGATACAGCGCAGCGCGCACGTGCTAACCATTCGGCCATCCACCCCCCCCCCCCTACAGAGATTCTTTTACATATAAAGAGACACCGGGGGAACAGCCCAAACAATTATCTTTTCTGAATGGCTCATGGAAGTCAGAAATCTTTACAGCAAGTTGTTTTGTTATTCGGTTTAAATCTTCGGTTTAAATGTGTGTCAATGTGACCAAAACATGAAAGTCATTAATAAGCATGTTCACCTCATCTATTTTGTTGAACACATGGTGAACATTAATGTGCCCGACATATAAGCCTTTATGGACTAATATATTATCAAGCATAAACACTATAATGGCTATACAATATGTGAAAATTAAGACAAGTATATGTACAGTAGAAATAAATAAAATTTTAAAAAAACAGAAATAAACTACAAGAGATAACACAACCTATAAATAGTAATGCTCTACTACATGTAAAGGTTAAGAGGCCGAAAGGTACAATATTAAAGTACAATCCTGGGCATTATGTTTGGCTTTGACTTAAAGGAGCTAAATCGCTAATATTTGGGACCTAAGATATTGACACAAATGGGTCGTAACGCATATATTAATGTAATATGAATGTACACTGTATATTAACTGATTTACGTTTCTGTTTTTACTCTAATTTCTAATCAGTTATGTTCAGCGATATACGTCAGAAGTCTCAATCGAATGGCAGCCCCTAACGTCTGGTTATTCCAGTTTACACCGATAGTATTTATTGGGCATGCTCTCCAGATAAGAATATGGCGTCACTCTTTGACAGGACTTGTGGAATATGTCTAGCCTTGTTCTTTGAGTCCTTTACAAATGGCCCTGAAACGCATTATGGTACAAGATTCGTCTTAAATATTGGATATCATAGCCCATCTTTTCCCGGTAAGATCACAACATCAATGTGATTTAAATTGATAAATAATTCGTGTTTTCAATGTCGAAGACTTTGGATGATGTTGGGTTAGAGACTGAGCTAGTTTAAAATAATTATCAAATTGATATCAAATGCAGTACAGTACAACACAGATTACAACATTGTACATAACAATGTACATAACAAAGACCATTATAGCAAGGGATAAACTGAGATATTATTTTAACAATAACATATACAAACATTAAAACTGAAGAGAAGAAAAAAATGACCCCCCCCCCCCAAAAAAAAAAAATAAATAAATAAATAAAATAAAAAACAAAACAACTTGTATTTATAACTTCATATCTTTACCGTTGATCTTTAAAAGCTTGGGAACTTAGCTGTTTTGACCTAAATTACCCCAAGTGCTCTAGTGTTAATAAACTGAAGAGTAAGCTATTGTTAGTAACAATATAATAATCTTTTAAAGGCATGTTATGTTAGTAACTGGACAGCCACACAATAACATATAGCCCTACCTATGAAAAAAAACAACAGAAACCAATTCAGCCGCTCCTCCATAAACATGTACTACTGTGTATATATTAATAACATCAAATCGATACCAACATTTGACAGTAGCTAAAACATCAATATTTAGTCTTGACAGGCAGCAGTTAATTACAGTACTTCCTTGCTTCTCAATACCTCGGTCCGTATTCAAAGGTTTTCTTAAAGTTAAGTAAAAACACTTAATTTTTCCACTTAACCAAGTGTCTTACCTTAAATCGGTATTCAAAGGCAGGCTCTATTTTACATCTTCTTGACTGTCGAAAACTTAACTACACACTTAAAATATGGAATACCAACATTAGCCAAAAAGCATGAATCTTTAACTATGGATCACCCTCCACTGCCAAAAATCACAAATTTCTCACGTTGCGCGCAAATTATGTCGCCTTAAGAGCACCACTGTGCTCTACTAAATCTTAGTTGTCATTACTTGGAAAATGTTTGTCGACATATATTGTAACGCATGAAAATAGTATGATTATAATTTATGATCAATTATGATAGTACGCATCCCTTGCCGGAACAGTTGTTTTCGTGGATGTTTTTAAAAAAATCAGTTTCAATCGATTTCAATTGCAGTTTTCGAAAAGTGGGGGTGTAATGATGGATATTGTAAACTTTATTGTTTTAACAATGTATAACGATAGAAAACAACATATTAGCAATACACAAAGACCTTTGGCTTTTAATTGAGAAATGCATAGCAATTGTGTCAGTGCCTATACTTTAGAATCCGAAAGGCCTGGTGTGTGTTGAGGATACATTGCCTATTACCAATTAAAACGCAGTAGGTAAGACAAACAATTAATTGTAAATCATTGTGTCAGCAATCATCATCATATTTATATACGAAGACAAGAACATGTTTCAATCAATACTATTCGCAATCCGCAGCTAACTTCGAATATGTATGGGAGCCACGGTGGCTAGGCGGGTAAGGCGCTGGTTCGCTAGCCTGGAGGTCGGGTGTTCGATCCCTGCCATTGGCCGAGAAAGTTCATCCCGATTTTCCGACGTGGTTTCCCCTTGTCAGTGATGCAGGACGTAGGGCCTGACAAGGACAGCTGTCTAGTCCTTCGGATGATACGAAAAACCGAGGTCCCGTGTAAACATTGGAATGCACGTAAAGATCCCTTGGCAGTTGGAATTCGATATAAGAGAAGGCGAAAGTGCCGCTGCCCGGGTAAAATTCCCCTCATAGCACACTGTATGGCGTATGCCCGTCTTCATTAGCCCAGTATAGGAGCAGAACAGTAGGACGTCCCATTTCATTTCATTTTTTCGAATATGTAAATGGGAATGAATTTCTTATAGCAGCAGTATAAATATTTGCTGAAATCTACAACAGAATGTCATCACAATGTAAAATTCTGCAAATGAATTGAACGCAGCAAATTTCATTATGAGACAGTTGTGGAAAACATTATTAAGCAATACGAACATGATAAATGATCAGAAAAAAATTCCTTGACCATCTCGGTGGTAGTAAAACCATACACTATTATTATATGGCACTGCAACCTCAAAAGTCCGATTGGTTTAGGAAAATGACATGAAATTTTAACGTCCTACTCTTCAGCTCCAACTGGGCTAATGAAGACGGGCATACTTTATACAGTGTCAGGGGGGTCTTTTAAGTGCACGCCAATATGTACAGGGGACGTCGGGTATTCGTATCATCCGAACGACTATACGTTATCCATTGCCAGGCCTTCCGTCCTGCAGTCCCAGTCAAAGAGGAATCATGAAGGGCGATATCACAAGATACCAATACCATATCAAAGCTGAGGATAAAAAACTTTGAGGCCAATTACGCCCGGCGACATTGTCTTTGTTTCAGTCTCAATCCGCTTCCTTTTAAAAACCGCCATAACTGGCCTGCTACTACAATGTGTACCGTACTTCGGTACAAAGAAGTCATTATAATCTCGCTTAACTTTAAGGTACCTCCAATAGGTCACTTAAGTGGATTTTTCTCACTTAAACTGGCATTTGAATATCACCACAAGACTTAACTTAATTGAAGGGAAAATTTGATACTTAACATTGCCTTTGAATACCACTTAACCTTGAAATGAAAGCTAGTAGTTAAGTGACTATATATCTTTTAAGACTTAAGACATCCTTTGAATAAGGACCCAGTACTTTTAATTTGAAAAATCATTGACATCATTCTTCATACTTTACATAAAGCTAATTTTAGCAACTGAGATTTCAAGTCATGAGAAATAAAAGATTACAGAATCGCTATCGAATAAGCAGCCTTTTACATTCAAGGAAAGATATAAGAAAAGGCACGTAGAGATGTGTTTACTTATAATTACCAGAACACATTTGACTGATTATAGGGAACCCGAGGAGGGTTACGACTAAATGATTGAAAACTAGGCCAGTTGGAAGCATGTAGTGGGAATGGACTGTTATATGCATAGGAAATAGGTTCATATCGGTGTGGTTGTGGTACAGTCCGTATTGGTGACCTCTCTGTGGGTATTCCACTAGAAACATCAACGTTGATTGGTTAATCAAATGTCTGGCGGAGCAACATCGGAATCATTCAGTTTTTGATCTAGGTGTTTTCTTGCACTGTGATTGGTAAGTTTTCTGTCTGTTGAAATTCCAGCTGACTTTGATATGGTTTTCATGAAATGTTCAAGTTTATGTATGCCAAGTTGCTGACACTTAACCCATTGGGAATCTACTTCTGGATTAGATCCAGTTGAACATGAAATATAAAAAGGAGGGCTTTCTGGATTTGAGAACTTGTGAGGCCTCAAACTCTTATAAAGTTTGTATAGTTTCACTGGACGACGTTCTTTATTCAGTCTATATGTACCCACATTTTTGGTAGCGTTTAACAGATGAACTTATACCACGCAAAGTATTGCTTTCAGACTCGCCACCATCAAGTTTGCATTCAGACACAATAAATTTGCACAAAATGTTGTTTAATTCATTTGGAGCCACGGTGGCTAGGTGGTTAAGACGCTGGCTCGCTAGCGTGGAGGTCGGTGTTCGATCCCTGCATTGGCCGAGAAAGTTCATCTGGATTTTCCGACGTGGTTTCCCCATGTCAGTGGTGCAGAACGGAGAGCCTGACAAGGACAGCTGTTTAGTCCTTCGGATGAGTCAAAAACCGAGGTCCCGTGTATACATTGGAATGCACGTAAAAGATCCCTTGGCAGTTGGAATTCGATATAAGAGTAGGCGATAGTGCCGCTTCTCGGGCAAAATTTCCCTCATAGCACACTGTATGGCGTATGCCCGTCTTCATTAGCCCTGTACAGGAGCAGAACAGTAGGACGTTAAACCCCATTTCATTTCATTTCATTTGTTTAATTCATTTTGGTGGAATTTCATGGATTTGTCGAGCATCTTTGTTCTTAGAAATGAATTTATGTAGTAGGTTTGTGTCTGCTAATATTTTTCTTGCAGTATTTGTATTTTCTTGCTCAGTAAATAATTTATCAATATTGCTTTAGTCAATTGTAATAAATCGTTCACGGCCAGTCAGAGAATAGAGCAGGGGCCCAGGGGGTCAACCTAGCTTAAAAGTGCACCAATTTTCTCCTATATGGTATCAATACATGTATATCTGGCAGTGGTCATTTCTGATTCCTATGGTGGTACGTCTGAACAACTCCAAAGCTGTTTTAGGTGGTACAGATTTCAGCTAATCTATTCTGTAGATAGCTCTGTCAGGGGTACCCCACTACTAGAAATATTTGGCAATTACATATCTCTGTCAGGGGTACTCCACCACTAGAAATGTCTGTCAAAGTGTTTTTGTAACACCTGAAGATGTACGGTACACTGCTGTTCGACTTTCATGTGGTACACTTTTGAGCTAATCTAGCCTAGTTGGGGGCATGACATTTTAGGAGTGGAATACCACACCCACTACCAGATACCCGACAGACTTACATTCTAATGATACCAGATATGCATGCATTGATACCATATAGGTTAAAATTAGTACACTATTCAGCTAGGCCCCCCCCCCCCCCGGACCCGGACTCCTGGTCTAGAAGTACATGGGAGCACACTTTGGTTTATAGATATGACATTTGAAGTGGTTGTCTGCTCTTCTGCATTGGAAATACTTGTGTTTTGGGATCCGAGCAACTGGAGTCTGTCTACATGAATTGAAGCTATATAGCCAGAACCCTCAATTTCAACAGAGTAATTAGTTCATCTACACTATTTGAAACCGTTCCTTGTCCAGAAAGGCCTACTGAAACCTTGTCACCAGAGAGAATGGTCGTCGTAGTTCCTTTTTAATAATAAAGTAGGTTCTTTTTAATTGACCAATCAAATTCATGTAAAGCGATATCCCGTAAATACGCCCACATTTGCAAGAGATGGACAGAGAACGAGCTAAAACGAAAATGTGATTTTTTGTACAATCAGGGGCGATAATCCAGTAAGTTACTGTCAGCTATGCACGAATATCTACAGGAACTGAGATCCTTGGGTTATAAACATACACGTCAGGTTTGATCAAAATTGGATAAAAATTGTAATCTCTACAGTGTGCAAAATCACGTTTTATAAGCTTGTGAACACTGTAGAGGAGATTTTTATGAAACTTGAAATAGATTGTGGACAGTGTAGAGATCACAATTTTTATCCGATTTTGATGAATATCGGACTGCAATTCCTGGACTATATTGCTCATGATTGTACGAAAAATCACATTTTTAGTTTGTGGAAGGTAAGGTCTAAAAAAGCCAAGACCGATAGCAGATTTTGTCATATGTGACTTCATTAGACCTCGCTACATATTTATCAATAATAAAAATACATAATTGTTTTATTTCCTAAGCAATCAACGTTACAATTCTGGGGACAAGTAACGAAGCGCCCCATATCAACCGCCTGATGTCCCCCGTCGCAATCCCACAATAAATAGATGACACATATATATATTAATTGCACATTGCATTTATCCTTTTGAAAAGTATCGAGCAATTAGCTATACGCTAATTAAGTTTCATCACTCTCCATCAGTTAGAATCAAATGTATCTTGTCCCAAAGAATCGACCAATGAAATTGCTTAGCTCTACTTAGCTTTAGCTGATAATGTTAATCATTGAACTCAGTCAGTTTCGTTGCGATTTTCCAGAAATTCGAAGTCAGTCTTCATTATGGTGTAACGGTGATATATGTAAACGGTGTTTAAAATCGGATAAAAATTATGACCTCTAGAGGGACAACAAGCTAAAAACAAGGTCCATACTCCGTGATGTTATGGTCGGTTACCTATCAATATCAAAAGGAACCAAGATCTTATGGAGATAAACCTATATTCCAAGTTTTGTCAAAATGGAATAAAAATTGTGACCTGTAGAATGTCCACAAACAAATGTGAAGGAACCGACGGGCGTATTAAAAAAAGGTTGCCTCGTTACTAATCAACATAACACCTCGAGTTAACTTCGCACTGTTTCTTTAAACACAAGTCGAAATTTTAGATATTGCTATTTATCTATTTAAAATTACGATTTAAATATCTTTGTCTTTCTATCCTTCAGTTTTAATGTTGAGTCATCTGGTATCTTCTTGTACAGAAGTTTCACGTCCGCCATAGTCTGTGGGAGTTCCTTCCCTCTAGTTTCCGGTAAAATGGTGATCAAGAGGGTGGCAAGCAAACAACAGCCACCGAATACAGCTCCTGGACCCCATGATATATGTTGAGCCAAAACTCGTGAGAATGGTCCTAACATTCCACCAACTCGAGCAGCGATGGACGCTGATCCCAGTCCAACATTCCTAGAAAAATATAAAGTAATAGCTACTTTAGTGTCAGGAATGATCTATGATTACCGACGATTTCTCTACGATTGCTGACGTTGAGGAAAAAGTTCCTATCGCCTATTTTTAATTTCAACCTTCTCCAGTAGAAAGCAACCATTCCAAATGATATTGCGATAGTCCAAATTTGCTGTGATTAGCCATGATCAGCTACGCTAGATAAAATCAGCCATAAAACGATACTGAAGCATTAGGGCTCGAATTTGGCGTGAAGCTTTCGGATTTCAACATTCTGTAACATTCATTTCCAGAGATGTTTTAAGTGCCAGAAAAGTTTGTGAACACGTCAGAGGTCGAATTTCTGGGACAGATTCTCATCACATTTGGTCAACATCCGAGTTATTCTTTCCGATAACTGGCTATCGCATTTTACTGTAACAGAGTACAGTACAGTTCGGAACGGAAAGTTTGCTGGTTCGGGGAGCGGGGTTTGTTGTTACCGTCTGCAAGTTTGATTATTTTGAGTGTGCGCCAGTGCCTTACTCAGCGTCCTGTAAGCTGGCATTAAAGGGTTAAAACGGTTTATCACTCGAGTTGGACGTAGAGTTTAAGCAGTCACACGTGGGTAAACTACAAGACCTGTGCACATACGTGAACAGTTATCTGTACTCATACTGACCTTAAACTGTGAAGACTTTGGTTATTGTGGGAGTGCGGCGGATCCAATACTGGAATAGCTTGAACTCATACTAACCTTAAATTGGTGGGGAAAATTTCTGGGGTGTAGAAGAAACATGCACCAAAAGCACCACCGGCTCCAAGTTTACCAACCAATGATAAAATAGTTATACAAACTGATGCTGCATAACTATCTGTAAAATGAATTCATTTGAGCTTGATGTGTAGCTGAAATATTACCAGACAATGGTAACAGCTAGTGACACAGAGCTGTTCTTCATTGCTACCTGTGAAAAAATCAATAGCCATTGACGCTTATACTCTGGATCCCGGGGACACTCGAATTTCGAACATCAGGGCAGCCAACCATATCTTTCAAGCATTAATCGGTTTTGAAATATATATTGGTGTCGATGAATCTTTGGGTATTCTGAGGTTGGGGCAGGATTTAACGATTGGAAGAATTAACAGAGCTAAAGTTATGAATGACATCGGTTACTGGTTCCCAATTTACTAATATGACAAGCTGCTATCTAATGGCAAATAGTGAGTGATTCAATACTAGTCAATCACACACTCGGGGGCAAAAATGGACTGCAATGAATACTTTGAATATCCCCGCCTGTAACTTTTGAATTGACACTCGGGGGCAAAAATGGATACTTTGAATACCTCCGCCTGCAACTTTTGAATGAACATGATTTAAATACACAGAGTGTGCAAATTAAGAGACGGATCGCGAGATCCCATTACGATGTTAATTTCAATTTTAGAGCCATACACCACTCTCAGCGATCGTCTGCGCACAATACATTACTTTATGTCAGAATCACTTAATTTCGAAAGTGTAGAACAGGCCTTTCTTATATTTTGCCCTGTTAACAACATAAAGCATGAATATAATAGTATTCCAAATTACGTTTATAAATTAAAAGCCCATGGTGAAAGTGGTAATTACCGTTAAAGACTCACCGGATGTAACTTTAATAATTGTAGCCAGAATCATACCAGTCCCACATAAAGCATAAAATGTTCTTAGTGTTTTCTTTCTACCAAATCTACAGCGAGAGAGAGGAAGGGAATACAACAATTCGTTAAGTTATGTAAGATCTACGGGACAATATCAAGCCACTAAAAGAACTGAACATGTCGACCTCTGTAGTCTAGAATTAGCAATGTATTATTATTAATATTATTACTTACCTATCAACGATCAGAAAGAATATAATACCGGAAGGAAATTCCATTGTCGCATACAGGAAGAAGTTGAGATATTTATCACCAACTAGAGACGACGACGTAAAAAACAAACCAAAATATGATAAAGCAGCCGTACACCTGAAACAAGGATCCATTAACGTTTTCAGTCCACTCCATAACTTAAATATGCATTTATGTAAGAGCTGAACCTGTCTAATGCAGATCTCTTTTCAACATATTCCCTTTTTATTATCTATTTTCCGAATTTTAGTCCCACCCGGCGAAAACCCACGCTGGAAATATATTTGTGCATACTAACCATAGATACCACAGTATAAATGTGTTTAGTGCCAATTTCTTTCTCTTCAAAATATCTAATAAACTATATTTCTCTATTTTCTCAATTGGCTTCGTTTCACCCTCGTTCAAAAGAAGTTGGTCCCCCTTCTCCGGCTCGGGTATAATTAAAGTTTGGCTTCCTATCAGCTCGTTAAATTTTTCTACAACCATATTGACATCAACCTGTAACATACGAATAGCTATAAAAACTTCCCAAGTAAATTAGGTTGTCTAGAATGATGAAAATTGATAACATTTCCAATCATGATAATAACAGTTATCAAGCTGTTGCCATGCATGATATACCTCCATTTTACAAGAGATGGGCAGACAGCAAGCTAAAATGCGATTTTCGAACAATAAGGGGTCGGACTCCAGGAGGTTATATAGGTGCAACGTACGTGCGTCAATATCAAAAGGATCTGAGATTTTTGAGATATAAAGGTATATTTTAAATTTCCCCAAAAACTGATACCCATTGTTACTTCCACAGGTTCCGCAGTCTTGGCATTACATGCTTTAACAATATTTGCGTAAAGTGGGGGGGGGGGGCACAAACAAAGGCAATATCGAAATTAGTTTATGGATACTCTAGAGGTCACAATTGTTTTCCGATTTTGTTTATAACCCGAAGATCCCGGTTCCGTTCGATATTGGCGCAACTTCCTGGATTATGGCGTGTATAAAAAATCACGTTTTTAGCTTATGGATCTTCTAGAGGTCACAATTTGCATTTGATTATAAACACGGTTCAAATATATGAGTTCGATTTTTTTCAAAACTAGGACGGAAACTACCCGACAAAATGGATGCTCCCTGTACTCAAATAATATACTCAGCCAAATTAAAAACTTGACACTCGGGATTTTTGGGATTAGATTTTTAATATTTGGTTTAAGACAACTATTTTAGTGTTATGTTGTGCACAGACGACCTTGACATCAACAGAAAGCAAGAATACGTCTCGCTGAAAGTCCTTGACATTGATAACGTTCGTGATGTCACAGTACCCCTCAAAATGAAATTCACAGACTTGGAGAACAATCGGAATAAAGTGTTTAGTAACGGTTGTGGCCTCCTCTAGCGTCTTGTACTGCCACACAACGTCTTCTCATGGATCTCAGAACATTAGTAAACACGACCCGAGGAAGACGTCGCCACTGCTCAACAAGAGCATGTTGAAGGGCCTGCAACGTCTGTGGTGGATTCACTTGCTGACGAACACGTCGATCCAGTTCGTCCCAGATGTGTTCAATAGGATTAAGGTCGGGGCTAAGCGACGGCCAATCCAGGACTTGGACAACGGCATTTCTTAAAAAATTCTGGGTAGCAATTGCTGTATGGGGTCGAGCATTGTCTTGTTGAAACGTTAGTCCAGGCCCATGTTTCTGCATAAACGGAAGAACAGGTTGCAAAATCTGATCCCTGTACTGGACAGCATTTAAGTTCCCTTGGACAACAACAAGAGGAGAACGTCCATGTGCACAAAAAGAACCCCAAACCATGACGCTGCCGCCACCAAATCGGTCAACTTCTCTGACGCATACTTGAGCGTAACGTTCACCTCGTCTGCGGTACACCGTACACTCGGAATCTGCTATCGGCAAATCTCAAAGTGAATCGAGATTCGTCACTAAAGACAACCGAATTCCACTGTCTTTGAGTAAATCTTATGTGTCTTGTGGCCCACACAAGTCGGTTACGGCGATGAAGAGGTGTCAATATTGGTCCATTATAGGGCCTCCGAGCTCGAAGACCAGCAGCCTGCAAGCGATTTCGAACAGTTTGAGCAGTTACCCTTCCACCAAACATCTCTACTTGTGGAGGTTGCAGTGACAAATCTGTTTCTAAGATGACGTAATCGTATTGCTTGATCTTCCTAGAGTGACGTCACACGTGGCGCTCCCGCCCTTGGGCGGTCGGCAATAGTTCCAGTTTGAAGCACTCTCATTCTAAGATTAATTATTGTCTGGCGTGAACAATTAAAGGCTCTTGCAACAGTGACCACAGACTGACCAGCATAGAGCCTACCTATAGCACGTAGACGTTCTACATTTGAAAGGCGCGGCATTTTCTAACAAAGATGAAAATAACAATTTTAATTTGTTTTTCCAGTTCAAGTTACGTGTGCGTGTTCAGTTTAAGCAAACTTGCATCGATTGACCTCACGAGTTTGTGTTTGCACGTGTTTTTCAGGTTTTTCATCTTTATATGCTCAAAATCACGTGACTTTACAATTTTATGAAATTAAAGGCTTCTTACTACTTACTATCGTTAGAAACACTTTAAAATTGATTTGACTTACCAGAACAAAAATTTGTTGAAATTCATCAGTGTCAAGTTTTTAATTTGGCTGAGTATATAATTAGAATGTACTTAGGCTGTAGGCCCTCTAGAGGTCACCATTTGTATTCGATTTTGATGAAACTTAAAATATATGTTAATATTCTAAAGATCTCGGTTCCCTTGGATATTGACGCCTGTCGGACCGTAACGTCCTGGATTACAGTCCCTGATTGTGCGCAAAGTAGCCTTTTTAGCTTGTTCTGTCCATTTCGTACAAATCTTGCACGGCACCGCTTGTTAACATATTTTTGCAAGATCGAGATTAGACTTTTTAAAGGATGTCTTCTTTATCCAATTTGCTTAACATAAATGTTTTCCTTTCTTCTGTCTTAAGAGTTGACATAAAGCATTACATTATATCTACAAAAGTGTGTTATCACAGCTCCAAGAAGAAAATAACGATAGCTTATTCGAGAGGAAGACTAGCTATTATTTGAAATTTACGGATCCGTAAACGTACATTAGTCGGTGATGTTAAGAAATACTAACATTGCGTCACAGGCAACAGCAAAACATGTCGTTTCCATACTCCTATCTCAAACAGTTATCATTTCTTTATATCATACAAACAACGAGTCACAGACTCATCAACAAAGCTCGGAAAATTAATACTATATTTTCCCTTAGGCCCCGAGCTAAGTGATGTTATGACCATGTGTCCCTGACTGTTGCAGATTGCTAACCTGCCATCATTCGCCGGATTACTGACTAATGTTAAGATAGTTTCGATGTATTCATACTGTGATACTAATGCTATTCAATTACCTTATTCCATTTAGCTGCCTTCTTTACATTCTTGAGAGCGATGTCATATTTTCCATTTGCTATCAACCATCTGAACGACTCGTCCAGGAATCTACAATATCATTATTAAATAGTTCTTTACATCAGTACTTTCATCCATTGACAAATAGTCTAGTTACATGTATCCTTGCCATTATTAATATATACACTGGCATCCTTGGGCAAATCTAATTATTCAAGATGGCCTCCATGAGGCACTTTCACGTTATTTTACCGGATTGAGGCCTTCTCTTCTTCGGATTCCAACCGTAAATGAATACACTGGTGAAATCGGTTTGTCGTCACAGATAGACAATTATCCACCTCAGCGCCCATCCCTTTCTGCATCACTGACATGGGGCGAAAGCCAGAGTAGCGTTCTCGGACCAACACCGTGATAATCAAAAAGGGTCGTTTTATTTTCTAGATGGTGGTGGGTAGTTTAATATCCTACGATTCTGTGCATCTCTGACAATAATGGACAATACCGAATATCGCTAACGACAATATCCTAAATGACAATATGTAATGCTCGCAAGGTTCTTTAGTTTAGCAGTTGGGTTTAAACCGCTGAAAAGGCACGTGAATGGGTAGGCGACCCTACTACTTGTGACGCATAAGCTTAGGATCGAAACAACGCTACCGTAGACTCAAAGATAAACCTTCATAGGCGTTATGAACCATAGAGCTCCGACTTTAAAGAAAATCAATCATTTACACGAATCAATCAACTTACATGGCTACAATAATAACGTAGAGCGAAACGGAGCAAAACGCCAGTTGCTGAGTTCGCCAACTTTCCATCCGCAAGAAATATCCAAACGGGGTCATGGAGACAACACAGATCCCCCATACGAAATTACCGATAACTCCTACATATCTTCTATATTGCGTCGGATAAACTTCTATGGAATACGTAGAATAGGTCAATACTACCCCCTATAAAACAAAATACAGGTTGATAACGCCTTAAATGAAGTAACACCATTGGTTAATAGTACCCCCTATAAAACAAAATACGGTCACATAACATTTATAGAGAATTTGTAGAATAGGATGTATTGCTTAGTTGGCAACGGTCGTAGGATCTTGCAGGCACTAACAGACTACATCACATACTCATCTTAAAACTCTATCAAGGCCTACACCAAGTTGGAACATTCTACCAGAATTAGAACGACGGGCATGCAGACCAATTTTAATAGCCCCCCCCCCCCACCCCCAGGATATAATTCCGGGGAGTAACTACAGTTTATGCAATACCTCCCCGCACACCCCAATCATGCATAAATTGCAAAGACAAAAGTGGTGTTCCTGGGCTGAAACACAACCTTTTGGAAACGCAGTACACGAAATGCGCAGCCTGAAGCTGGCAGCCCAGTACTCCTTTTAATACGCTACCGTGTATCTCCTTCATTGGCGTGTAGCTTAACAATGGACCGAAAGACTCACATACCTGTTGTACTATTCCCATTAACAATCTTAGTATGGCAAACGTTATATAACTGTTAGAGAAAGCTGTAGCAACGCCAATCACCATCATACCAACATGGCTGATAATATTGGTGGGCTTTCGTCCATAATGATCTGAGAAAAACGGTAGAACCAGCGCACCAATGGCCTGTCCTAATATCAGCAACGTCTGTGGTAAATCACCGAGCGCACCACGTTCACAAACAAGATCAAACTGAAAATATTACAAAATCATGAAATAAATTAAATGAAGTTGCATTTATAGCACGACTTTCCATGAGTTAACAGGTTTAACCAGAGAGGACGAGGGGTTAAACCTGTTAACGAATGAAGCGTGTTATAAATGACTTGCTCAACATGCTTGTTGTTATTGCGCACAGAAAACCCACCCACTTCTCTATATGATTTCTACTAAAACTACTGTAAACCAGCAAAAGTGTGCAATAACATTGAACATGTCCAGTTGTTGTACGGTTAAGCTCCACCCAATCTACTAGAGGGAAAACAATCTGCCTATTCAACGAAAAGAACAAAGGAAGATTTCCTGTCCATGTTACAAATGGGGTTTAACGGCCTGTTTTGCCCGAACTAGGCCAACGAAGGCGAGCATACGTCATACAGTTAGTTACTTTAGTAACGTATATTGTATCGCCTCTGTTCTCTACTATGTTACTGGTGCATGCTCTATACAACTAATATGAAAATAAGGCCTTTTCCCCCCATCTCGGTTCTAAGGCTATTTTGGAATCCTTACCGTCTATGTTTCACCGTGATACTTCTTTGATCGCCAAAAGGAATCATTTCTTGCCACATCCCACACAAATTTATAAAAATCCAACACTATTTTCATGTAGAATTATGCGATACAAAATTGGTCCGCCATTATCAAACTTACGCTCAGCTATTATTCCAAATTTAGGAATGGAATGTTACCGTAAAACAAAAATTTGTGCAAAGAAACCATTCTCAAAAATCGCGATAAACTTTTCAAGGCCAACGCCGGGACCTCCTGGTAAGTGAACCAGCACAATATAAGTCACTGAAAACAAAACGACAAACAAAAAACATCGTTACTTTAGCGTTGACTGCCCTTACGTGGACCGGGTTACCGTATAAGATCGGTTACTTTCTTACTGTGCTTACTATTGATAACCAAAATGATGGTTTCACCAATGGCAGGGATGATATATCCATCTAATTTGTGTGTTTGATTGAAATGACAAATGTTATGGGATTTTGATTTGTGCGGTCCTATTTATTATCTGTATAAAATTACCTCTGAAACGATCGATGCATCTTTTCTCTCTGTGTAGGTCATACCATATATACATGGTAGTGTGTGTTCTGTATTGGTGGAAGTAGTGGTATTGTATTTAATATTTATATTACATTGTCCGTATTCCACTGTATAATTACTGGGTGATAATTCTACTCCAGCTATGGTTATACCAGTACCATTAGGTGGCGCAGAGCACTCGTGGGGAATAATCCGTCCTGCAAAACAAATAACACATTTCACGATAATTTCATTAATGTTTAACCTACATATATATCGCTTTAAATGTTTTGTTTTTGTTATGAAGGATACAGTGCGAATGGAAATGAAATGGGGTGTAACGTCCCGCTGTTGTGCACTGACTGGGATACATACGTAGCTGTATTTATCAGTTGCTCACGTTTATGACAGATTTAAAAATATGGCCAATACCCCCACCTCTAAATTATCTCGGCTCATGTACCAGTAACCATGTTTCTGTTATTCCAAATATATCTAGATCATGATCTAAAATAAAATCAGATAACTCAGTTGTTTTATTTCTAACTGATCTTGAATTCGGTATTCAACTTCTATGCCTGATTATTTTGTTTGATACTTGTAGTGTAGCTATTTGATTTCACTTTCATTTAAGGATAGCCTTTTAGAGATGTTTTTCCTTGCAATGAAGTGGTGATCGTTAAACATGCAATATGTAAGAGCTAAATCACCTTATCGCAGGTCTTGACTTTTGCTTTAAATATTTATAAAGTATTATTTAAACATACATTGCAAGAGCTACATCTGCCCATTGCAGGTCTTACTTTAAGCCTGAAATGTTAGCTAAATTAACATTAGTTAACTTATCCAGACCATAATCACCTCTCGTTGTCATCGCTAGCCTGCGATATTTACTGGATTAGGATCCGATACTCAACATTCATTCAAGATTTAATCATGAAATGGAAAATCGTGATTACGTTTTTTTATCGTACCGACTTAAGTACTCATGATCGAGGCTAGGCCGACAATTCAATCGCTAAATTCTCGGTTCAGACGGGATCAATTTGACTGAAATTTTCAGCAAATTCCCTTGACATTATCCAACTTTTAACTGTTATAGTGAGAACTACCAGCTCTGTATCTGATCAACTGTTTTAACCCATTATTTTCCCCGCTCTAGGCCATGGCTTAGTATATATGCAGATGATATACACATTTATATTCCGTTTAAACTATCTATAACAAGGGAGCCACGGTGGCTAGATGGTAAGACGCTGGCTCGCTAGCCTGGAGGTCGGGTGTTCGATCCCTGCATTGGCCGAGAAAGTTCATCTGGATTTGCAGACGTGGTTTCCCCTTGTCAGTGGTGCAGAACGGAGGCCCTGACAAGGACAGCTGTCTATTTCTTCAGATAAGACGAAAAACCGAGGTCCCCGTGTATACATTGGAATGCGCGTTGAAGATCCCTTGGCAGTTGGAATTCGATATAAGAGTAGGCCTTATATAGTGCCGCTACCCGGGCAAAATTTCCCTCATAGCACACTGTATGGTGTATGCCCGTCTTCATTAGCCCAGTATAGGAGCAGGACAGTAGGACGTTAAACCCCATTTCATTTCATCTATAACAAATGATAGTAACACCAAAAAATGACAAATGGGAAACTTGTGTATATTTTTTTAAAATTACGCAGTAATAAGACTGAATAGAGGATCAAAAAATAATCCAAGCCAAATATCTGATTGTAGATTTATATCTATTGCTGAGATTGTTATTTTACTTGTAAACTCTGCGAGACATTGGTGTTATTTTTGACAAAAACATGAATATGATTAAAATGCACCGTATATTAAAGCTACTATTTTCATATTTACAATAAAACAATATTAGAAAATACATTTCATAAGATGCAACTTCTTAAACCCAGCTCGGTTAATCTTTCTTCCTACGTTGACCGATTCTTCTCTTTCCAGGCACCCAAACTCTGGAATAGGCTCCCTCTTTCCTAGTTCATTTCGGAACTGTCTCTGATCGGACTATGTCCGGTGACTGTTCCTTTTATGCTTTTAATCAAAACGATGTTATATTTCTTGTATTTTAATAAATTTGAATTGTTCGTACTTGGTTTTGTTGTATTTATATGTAGACTTTTATGTACATTTAAATTTTATATTGTTTCAATTTATGTTTTTTTGTAAAGCGCCTTTGAGCATTGCCTGTGCGGTGGAAATGAAATGGGATTTAACGTTCTACTGTCCTGTGCCCTGCTAATAAATACACATTTACAAATATCCCAAAAAGCAGTCCTCAAATGAACGGGAGAATAGCTATTTATAATACCATTTTATAAATAGGCAACCCACCAATGAAGATCATATCCAGTAGTTGAAAAGCAGCAGAAAATGCAGTAAAAGCGATAAGGAGATGATGAACACGTTGATATAATCCCTTTCCTCCCAATGCATTGAGAACCGTGTCAACTTCCGTACCCTTTACTGCCATATTTCTGTATTTCAGTCCTGAAGTGGTTCTTAGTACTGCCGTTTAGAATCACATTAATCTGAAGTTGTTAATTGTAGATGAACACTCTCTGAATAGATGGCCAATGTCCAAATAAAAAAATCCGTATTCACATTGTCATTAGTGCTTGAACTCTTGGTTTAAATCAAACTACACAGTCATAATTATTCTGATTTTATTTCATCCTCCGGAAATCTTCAACTTCCAATATGTTCCACAAATTGCTGAATTATAATGCACTTATTATAAGTAACCAGCAAACTGGTCAGGTGTCCATATAAAAATAATCCGTATTTACTTTTGTTACTAAATTCTTGGACGCTTGGTGTAATTCATCCAAAATGACCAACAGCTAGCTCAATGACACATAACTAGATGCCACCAGTATTAAATGGGTGAACTGTTTATTTTTAAATCTTTCAAAGGTGCTAGACAAATTATGCGAGAACACGAAACTATATAGAGCAATAGAATGTGCGCATGCAGAGTCGCCATAGACGGATTGTGATCACACAAGGGACTGTCTGCTATCACACATTTTTATTCCGTGTACTGTGACGTCTAATTTCGCATCGGTTTACATACTTTGACAGGGGCATACTTTGGAACATTTTCTAAAGCATTAATAAGGGCTTAAACGACCCATGGGGGGGGGGGGCATTCAAGGTGAAGTCGCTATAATTTGGTGAAACTGGCTAGAAACAACGGGGTTCCATTATTGGTGAAAACGAACTTGTTAAATTTGGAATGAGTTACTTACAGTGTTAAGAGATCCATGCGTGCATCGGTTTTCTGTATCATTCGAACAACTATGTACACATTGCAGCCTCGCAGGCACAGCCCCTGACAAGTGGTAAAACCCTGGGGCTTGTTTCACGAAATTTTAACTAAGATAAAATACAAATTTTAGTAATTTGATTGGTTGATATTAGATTGATTTTAGTGCTTAGCCAATCAAAATTGAAGTATCTACTAAAATTTGGATTTTATCTTTAGATAAAATTTCGTGAAACAGGGCCCAGAGCTTTGCTATTTTTTTTATCCAGAATCAAGAGGCCACGCCGCTTCTTGTAGACGAACAGGTTTATGGACAGAAACTCCTTCAGGACTTCAAAATTTGGTTATTCTTAATGGTCAGTTGCTGATAACGAGATACGGTCAACGCTTAATCGTAATAATTTGTGTTTCAACATACTCAAGTAGTTGTTAATGAATTTATTAAATTTGATATGTACATGAAGGACTATGTAACTGAATGTCTAATTTGTATATTTGATTTTATATTCCTTTGTTCTGTCGGTTACATAAGTAAAACACGTTTCTGTAGTTGTGCGCGAGGCAGGGTCTATAATACTAGTTATAAATCACATTAAAGTCCATGTACTATACACTAATTGTTTTTATACGCCCACATCTTCATGTTTGTGAACAGTCTACAGGTCACAATTTTTATCCGATTTCAATGAAACTTGAAGTATAGGTTTATCACCCTAAGATCTCAGTTCCTTTCGATATTGGCATGTATCGGACTGTAACTTCATGGATTATGGCCCCTGATTGTACGAAAAATCATGTTTTTAGCTTGTGAACACTGTAGAGGTCACAATTTTTATCCGATTTGGTTTAAACTTGAAATGTATGATTATAACTCAAAGATCTCGATTCCTTTTGATATTCGCGCATATCGGAAGGTCACTTCCTGAATTATGGTCCCTGATTGTACGAAAAATCGCGTTTTTAGCTTGTGGACCCTATAGAGGTCATAATTTTTATCCGATTTAAAAAAACGTATTAATATATCACCGTTACACCCTAAGGACGGCTGAGTTCGAATTTCGTGAAAATCGGCCCAAAACTGACAGACAAAATGGCCGCCCTTCGTTCTAAAATACCGTTAAAAAAAATGATATATGAAGGTTGTGGACCCTATAGAGGTCACAATTTTAATCCTATTTTGATGAAACTTGAAATGTAAGTTTATAACCCAACGATCTTGGTTCCTTTTGATATTCGCGCATATCGGAAAATAACTTCCTGAATTATGGCCCCTGATTGTACGAAAAATCACGATTTTAGCTTGTGGACCCCATAGAGGTCATAATTTTTATTCAAATTTAAAAAAACGTATTATTATATTACCGTTAGACCCTAAGGACGACTGAGTTCGAATTTCGTGAAAATCGGCCCAAAACTGATAGACAAAATGGCCGCCCTTCGTTCTCAAAAAGCGTAAAAATATGGTATATCAAGGTTGTGGACCCTATAGAGGTCACAATTTTTATCCGATTTTGTTGAAACTTGAAATGTAGGTTTATAACCCAAAGATCTCGGTTCCTTTCGATATTCACGCATATCGGACCGTAACTGCCTGATTTATGGCTCCTGATTGTACGATAAATCACTTTCTTTTTAGCTTGTTCTCTATCCATCTCTCGAAAATGTGGGCGTATCCTGCCTGGCAGCCGCTGGTTTTATAGACTTGGAGGTGACCCTTTACGATATTATCGTTTTGCACAAAGGGTCACTGTTCATTGCACTGATTATAAATGTCTTATATTTTATCCATTTAAAGAAATTTCAAATCCCGAAAAATAATCATCGATGCCCGAAAACAAACCCCTTAGTTTGAATGAATTTTAAACATACATTATGCAAGAGCTAAATCTGCCTATTACAGGTCTTTCTTAAGTTCTGAAATGTTATCTAAATTATTAATTAACTTACCATACCATAATCAACTCCCGATGTCATCGCTAGCCTGTGATAAGATTCCGATTTGCTGTTCCGACTTCCATTCCTGATTTAATCATAATCGAGACTATATTTTTTATCGTACCGACTTTAGTAATGATGATCGAAGCTAGGCCGAAAATTCAATCCCTAAAATCTCGGTTCAGAGTGGATCAATTTGACTGATATTTTCAGCAAATCCCCTTTACATTATCTAGTTTTTAACTATTATAATGAGAACTCTAATCTCCCATAGTGTATCTTTAATTAAGGGTGTTCTGTGACAATTTAATATGTAACATGTAAAGCATCCACATTAGACTTATTTTATTTTATTTATTCTTCAAGTAAAGGTTACAACATGACAGCAAACAATATAGACATGTATATGAAATAACTATGTGCTGCATTGTATGAATGAGAAAGTGACATTAATAAAGAAGTATGTTAGGTATGGTATCATGAACAGATCTTTACTTAGGATAGTTCATAAAGCCGGACTTCTGTAATATCCGTCACTATTATTAAAATTCTATCACACATATATAAAGGGAGGTAACTGGTGTTATGTAACTGGACTGCTGGCTCTTCCGTGTTTTATTTATTTTGTAGTTCATGAGGTAGCATCAGATTCCCGTATGCAGCATGCACACCATGTTCTGCTGCAGCAACTAGCAGTAACTTCTACTCCAATGTAGCAAAATCTCTACGACAATCTGAAATGATGCGCCTATCACCAGATGGATTGCAAGAGTATATGGTAGAGTGTTTTTATTTATGTTATGTTAGTATGGTCACGTTTTTAACTTACAGCTTTAACCTGCCCTGCCCTGCCCTGTTCATTCTTCCTAAATGTATCCAGTGAATTCAGCTGATATTGTATTTCAACTTTGATCTGAAAGGTTCTTGGCTTTTTTGTTACATCACGATGGGCAACTCTCTTAGGCCAAAAAACAGTGATACCAACCCTAAACTAATTTTGTTCTCACTTCCTAGGTCAAATAAATGATCATGGCGTATGTTTTCTGCAGCCACTAAGTTTTGGTATTTGCAACAACCCGAATCGGCATTATTTTACTCAGTTGTTAAGCTATGAAAATACATACTAAACACTTGAAGATAATTAAAATGACATCACAGTATGAATGTAGTTTATTAAAAGATTAAGTTATTTGTTCAGTTAATCCAATCAATTATGCAATTTTCATAACGCCCTATATTTTATTACAGACAGCGTATAAGGTTCTTCACTATTGAAGACCTTTCTTAAGTAAGAACATTAGCTTTGCATGTTTGTCAGTCAATGGCACCCTTTGAAAAACAATCATAACCGTCTTGTAAATTGCACAGCATGATCAATCATGGTGTCGATGTTTATAATAATGCCCGTCTTCATTAGCCCAGTCGGTGCAATTTGATTGACATACTTTTAGAAAACACTAAAACCTAGCTCCTAATTGAGGAAGGGAGGGCGGTGTTCGTGGTGAAATATGGGTTCATTGAATGAATATCTTTGTTACGTTCGATAATGAGCATGTTGCCTTAGGGTATGCAGGGTGATAGACAATTTGATTGCGATGTGCTTTATACAACGATAGTAATAAAATAAAACCAAGTACGAACAATCCAAACCATAAGACAGAATTCGAAGTCCTAAAAAACGTTATAGGCAAAATAGTGTATTCAAGCAAAATAGTGTAATCAGCAAATGTACTGCTCCTCGTGTACCCTGTCTGGCGCCACACCCGCATCCAAACTATTAGGCGAAATGTCGGTACAATAGCGTGATTGGCCAATGAACTATCGGTATGCAAAATGCACGCGATGAAATGTGTTAACGATGTAGAAGACATTATCAGGGAGATAGTAATAGTATACGGGTCAATTAAATGTTCTAGAATAATAGCCGAGAGAGACACGTTATATTTACCAATCAAATCAATATGACGGCCATAAAACTTTTTAAAGGTTTTAATAAGTTTAGTGCGCAAGTATCCTTGTAGTTGAAGCTTAGATGACAAATGCCTCGATCTACTTAAGAAATCAGAATAAAAGGAACAAGCTCTCGCGTAACGAATTAGCTGAGACAAGTAAATGAGTCATCTATGCAAGGTTAGTCTGGTTTGAATGTGAACTGTTGGCGACTGTTTTTATGTTTACTAGTTGACAGTTTAAATCCACGTTGCTACTACGTCTATCGAAAAGCAATTGCAATCAAATGAAAT